CGGGAGGGACCTTGAAAGCCCTCCGGTTCCGTTCCCCTGCCATGGGCAGGAAGTTACTGGGCTCAGATGAGCTCAACAAGGTGCCTGTCCAGCCTCATCTTGAACATTTCCAAGGAGGGTGACTGCACCATGTCTGCCAGGAGTGTGCTCCAGATTCTGGTGACCCCTATAGAGAAAAAGTTTCTTCTTATGTCCAGCCTGAATTTACCCTCTATTAACTTGTGCCCATTGGTCCTCATCCTCCCTTGAGGTGCCTTCCTAAAGAGTTGCTCCCCTAGATCTTGATGCTCACCCTGATGGCTTGTAGGCAGCTATTAAGTCACCTCTCAGCCTTCTCTTATTCAGACTAATCAGACCCAGTTCCTGGAGGCTCTCCTCATAGGGCCTGGGCCCCTAATCATATGGGTGGCCCTTCTTTCTACCCTCTCGAGCTTATCTGCATCCTCTTGAAGTGCAGTGCCCAGAACTGGACACAGTACTCCAGCTGAGGCCTCACCAATGTCCGATGGAGAGGGAGAAGCACCTCCCCGAATCTATTGGCCACATATAGGCTGATGCACTCCAGAACTCTATTTGTCCCTCTGGCAACCTCATCACACTGCTGGCTCATGTTCATCTTCTGGTCGATCGTGACCCCCAGGTTTCACTCAGATGCTGTGCCAGCCATTGGACCACCACCCATTGTATAGTTATGGTGCAACATTATCAATACATGTTCCAGAGATTCCCAGGGAAGAGGCCATGCTATACAGAAAGGCAGAAAACCCCACAGTCCACATGCCAATGTGACCATGGGGTAAAAGTCCTTCCTGACACTAGATATGACAATTGGTCTGACTCTGGCCTCTCCTAATCACTGAGTTTTCAAAGATGACGGCCAATGGCTCTGCAGTCACATCAGCCGACTCCCTCAGCACCCCTGGGTGCATCCCATCCAGCCCCAAGGACTTGCACACGTCCAACTTTTCTAACTAGTCCCTAACCTGGTTTTTCACCACTGAGGGCTACTACGACTGAGGTGAAGAAGGAATTGAGCACTGCGGTCTTTTCTGCATCCTCTGTCACTAAGTTGCCTCCCCCTTCAGTAAGGGACCCACACTTCCCCTGATCCTCCTCTTGCTACCGACATCCTTGTAGAAACCCTTCATGTCCCTTGCTAGCTGCAACTCAAATTGCACTATGGCCTTCCTGGCTTCATCCCTGCATGCCCGAGCAGTGCTCACATACTCCTCCCTAGTTGTTTGTCTAAGTTTTCACTTCTTATAAGCTTCTTCGTTGTGTCTTAGCTTCCTCTGCTGTTAAGTTTGTGTGGCAGAAGGGGTGTAAGGGGGGCAGATTGGGGCCCCCCCAGGGTGAGGGAGTGGGGCTGGGGCAGGTGCTGCCCAGCAAGGGCGGTGAATGGGACCCTAGGGCTGGGAGCGAGATGGAGAGGGAGAGCAGGTCTGGGGGGGCGGCTCCCCACCACTACGCAGACCCCAGGGGAGGCATGTGTGGGGGACGTGCCCCCTAGATTTGTGTGCAGGGTGAGGGTAGGCTGCCCACTGTGGGCTGGGGCCGAGGGCAGTGCCAGGCTCTTCCACACTGGGGGTGGGGCTGACCTCAGCTGTATGGGGCCCAGCCCCAGCTGCTGGGAAGAAGCTGGCACTGCCCCTGGCCCTGAGCCTGCAGCAGCCAGCCTGCCCTTGCCCCATGCACAAATCCAGGAGGCACATGCCCCCCATGCCTCCCCTGGGGGGGTGCTGCCCCCACTCCCCACACGAGCCGCCTGCAACTCCATCCCACTCCCAGGGTCCCATTCACCACCCTGGCTGGGCAGTGCCCCCAGCCCCACTCCCTTCCTCACCATGGGGGCCACAATCTGCCTCTCCCCTTCCACCCCACAGATTTACACACCCAGCACTGCTCTCCACCCTGCCCAGCTGCATTCCTGTAAATTGGCTATTGGATTAGTATCGGCCGATATGGCTCCCTTATAAATTGGTATTTGATTAGCCCAATATCTGTCTTGGTGTACCCCTACTTGCCATGTTTGCTAGTCTCCCTGCACACTGGGACAGTTTGTTCCTGCACTCCCATAAGGTTTCCTTCAAGTACAGCCACACCTGGACTCCTCTCCCCTCAGACTGGCCTCCCAGGGGTCCCTGCCCACGAGTTCCCCAAGTGAGTCCAAGTATGAGCCCCCATAGCAGACTGAGACCCCACTGCTGGAGAGGGGGTCAGCTAGCCAGGCCTTAATAATGGGAGAAAGGAACCACTTCAGGACCACTGTGGTGAGCAGC